AATAAAAAAGAAATAAACAGTTTTGAAAACTTCTGTATTCATTCTTTTTTTCTGAATTTGGATGGGTCCGATCTGTACCCGGCCTTACGTCATCCAAGAGCCATGGAGAAAGGACTCTATCTAGATCCTCCATGTCTATGCTGTCTCCATGGCTCTGCCTCAAGCCAACTTATGTCGCCTAGCAACCATTACATTGTGAGGTAATTTGGTTGAGAATCAATAAGGTGAACCAAAAAAAACAAACAGCTTCAGCCACCGGTTCCAGTTTCTCTGTTCTTTTATTCATTTCACTCTGACAAAACATTTCCCTGCACTTGAGTGATTAAACAGGTCAAAAAACAAAAAAACAAAACAAAGTCTAAACAGAGAAACAAGACTAAAATTAATCAAATTAACAAACTCATCTACATAAAGAAAGAGTCTGCAAAACAAACAGTGTGATACAAGATAACTCAAGTTACTTTAAAGAAAAACAAACAAAGCATAACTCCAAAGAAAGGTAATGGATGACATCATCTAGTCAATTTAGTAGGAAATACTTAATGTCAATGGTCAGTAAAAAGGAAAACAAAAACCATGCATATATTTAAAAACAAAATAAACAACTTCATCCAATAATCCTGAATTAATAGCTTTAACCCCAACATAAGTAGATGGAAACTGCAACATAATGCTAACACAAACAAACCCGGGATAGTAAGTGAAAGTCCAAGTTGCACACAGAATTTTTTTTCTTTTGCCTCTTTTCCTCCTGCTCCCTTTGGCTCCTGCTCTCCTTGCCTTGTCTCCCTTGCCCACGGAGCTGGGGTCCGCTGTGGTGGAGATGCGGGCCCCAGGGGAACCAGATCCCCAGAACCATCAAGTCAGAACCTATCAGAACCAAACTGCTGCAAACAGACATTTTGCAAGACATTTCTTCTCAGTTTCAGAGCTTATAGAGCCAAACTGGATGAGAACCATGCCCTGGGTGTAAGCCTGAGGGGACCCCTGCTGTGAGACTGAGAAAAATACCCCATTTACACTACCCTTGAAAAAAAGTGCAGAGACCGGCCCGAGCTCAGTAACTGAGATAACTTATCGTGTGTAAATGGAAAGCAAACTGTACTGAACCGAGCGCAACCGGACCATGCTAACTGCAGACCAGTTCCAGAGGTGGGCTCGGCTCGGTTCTCTGATAACAAGAGCGCATGAGCAGAATGCATCATCTCCGTCAGGCTGCACATCCCGATTCACACTCCATTCCAGTAGTTGGCGGTAACGCCCCTCCGGAAGGTGCTTGGCGACCAACACAAAACAGAAGAAGAACTATAAACAACAATCGAAATCTTCTCCACGCAACATTTTAAATAATGGCATTTTAAATAATAACACCAAAGTACAGCAATAATAATCAAGCATAACTTTCTGAATGTGACGGGCGCCGCCATTTTGATTTGCTTGATTCCCCTCCTTCGTCTTCTTCTTGTGTTTCATGGCGGTTGGCAAACAACTTTTGGTGCATTACCGCCATCAGCTGCTTGATTTCCTCCTTCAATACTGGCAGTAATACAGCAGATCGTGATTAGGAGGCGAGAAGCCAAGATAGAGTGATGTTTAAACGGGCCTGGTTAACTGATCCGAGCTCGGACCGGTCTCGGCATCTATCGGTTTTTCAAGGGTAGTGTAAATGGGGTAAAAGAACCCCTGGTCAACTGCAGCTGGATGGAACTCAAGCTTTCCAAATGGAAATAGAAAAAAAGGTTTGCAGGTCTGGCATGATTAGGGACAGAACAAACAATATGTCTTTTGATTATGCTAATTATACCACGTGTTTAATGTCCAATTGATGCTAAAGAATGGACTGCACGCCACACTAAGCTACAGGAATATGTTTTGAGCTCTTGCTGAAGCTTGGAAAAGCTTTATTTACTAAGGATTTAAACCCTGATATAACATTAGTGTTCATGTGTTCCTCAGACGCTCATTACATTTCCATTTAGTGGAATCCTGATGTCTATTCGCTGCTAGCTATTTCAAAGAGAGTAAAGAATCATTTGACTAAACGTTTTTGGTTCTTGATTAAGCAAATCATTTAATAAAACATTATTTGGCCAAATAATG